TACAATGAATATATATGATCTTAAAAAATTACAGAATATATATATATATATGAAAATTGCACATTTAAGGTAGTGCAAGTAGTGCTTGTTCATAATGTAATAATATTGTATATGTATATGTATATAATTAGAAAATATGACTCATACATGTGAAGCCTGCTATGAGTCTCGAGTCTGATTAACTTGTCCGGTGAAAAGCAAATACACGTAAAAGCACAAATGAAAAACTCTAGATCTGTTAGCACAAAGACAAATCTGATTCTATAAACAATAATCAGGTTTGTGCTGAGACCTCTCAAGGAAGAGTTGTAACCACCTAAGCACGGAGCCGGAGTCATTTTTTAGTAAATGCACATATATACTGCAACAAACTTTGTAAACAAACAAGGTGGTGTCATGCACCTATGCACAAAGACAACTCTGAACTATAATCAGGCATCACAATTGTATTCTATTTCGGCCACCAACCTAACATTATGACCTAACTGTAGTAGCTCTAGTTCACAAGGCGAACAAACAAAGGAGAAAAATTGAAATTAAATCAAGCATCCAGATCTGGACTATGTTTCTATCTAGTTTCAGCTGCAGAGATCCATCATATCATATTTTATAGCTCTTTTTTCATCCAAATTCATTAAACTTGCAAAACAAAGAAGCAAGGAAGGAACGACATCCTTACTAGTATTTGGATTAGTTGCTTGCTTTAGATGTCCGTGATGGCTTCCATGACCTTATGCTTTGTTCTGTCATTGGTCATGGTAGGGATCTAGAGCACCACCTTTTCCTAGCACCGACGAGATTATTCTCTTTTCAGCCATGAAAAAAGAGGAGGAACCGAAGAAATGCATGCATGGAGTCACGAAACCTGAACCAAGTCCATCTCCATCTCAGTTATATGCCTATATATGAGGCCTTCTTCTTAGCTTCTTGGATTTGGATGAATGGATGGCAGCTGGCAGTGGAGGTGGGAGAGCGAGGCTCAGCCTTTAGACCCCAGAGAGCAGCTGCTACTCAGTGAAAAGCTCTATCTATTTCTTGCTGCTATGAGTTACTGGAATGTGAACAAAGTGTGTTATCTGTGAACACAAAAGAAATAATGTGAGAAACAACAAATGAACCATCGGGAGTTTGTAAGGCTTAACTACCTCTAGGCTCATCCTTCTTAGGATATGCCATGAAGGACCCAATGAGATCAGACATCCTCCCTAATGTGGTCTCAGCTACAGACTGATTACGGGCTTGTAGAAGCAAGTCAAACAACAAACCCATGGTTATCGATCCACTAAAAGAACTTATCACTATACAAGTGTGGATCTATTGTTCTAAATAAAGAAAACTGAGCTGTAGCAAGTGCTTTTCTTCAGCAAAACAGTGTTGTCACGGTGTGTATGCTTATTCAGTTCCAATAAAAAATAGTAGAGAAAGACGAGAATAAGGGACAGTGTCATTAGATTAGAAAACAAAAGGAGGATCCGAGGAGATCAAGTCATGTACAGATCGTTTGGTGTGCGCGGATTGGGTTCTATCGTCCGTTCGGTGTTAGCGGGTACAATCTCTAGTGCCTGGACCCAATAAGCGGACCCAACAAAAACCAAGCTAGCGCACAGATCGCAACTTTCATCCAATGATGGAGGCATCGACTGAAAGAACAACCAGATTTCAGTCGACAGAAGAGTAGAAAAAGTGCAAAAGAATTGATATTTTGCACAAATATCTGAAAGACGGAAAAAGAAATAAATGGTACTGAACAATCAACACGCAGGAAAGAAATCCCTAATGCCGTCTACTCAAAGAACTATCTTACAGAGACTACCACTGACAAAGCCACAATGGCTGAACTAAAATGCAGGCACAATGACTGAACAAAAGATGCTTAGTAAGAACATCTCTAGATATTTCTATACTGGTGCCTAACGGTGGGCATAAAAAACCGCCTGAATGGACATAATTTATACTAAATATTTCTATCATTTCTTCCTTCATTTTGAGGCACCTCAATACTATATTGTTTATGTACATGCCATACCATGTGTTGCCATTGTTAACTAGGATCAGCAGCAATAGCCAATGCACTATTGCACTAGGAAGCCTGTCAGCAAAGTGATGCAATGTTTAGCCATTAACCAAATTTGATGCCACATGCATGTAGTTTAGAAGCACTAATAGTTTATTGCATGTACCATAAATTTTAGAGTACATCTACACCCAGGGCGTCTCCTCCCTCAGGAAGGAGACTAGCAAACAAAGACACTTTCGCGGCAACGCAAAGGGTAACAAATACATGAGAAAGAGACAGATGGACAATGTAGTACTACTGTCATTTTCAGTTCCTTGTACACGTGCACAGTTAGTCATCAGGGTGGGGTCACACCGTGTGTCAGTGTGTGATTTGTCTGCATGATTCAGACTCTCAAAGCAAGTCATGTACAGATAGACAACACAATACTTTATGAATGGCAAGTACTAGCACTACTTGCTAATGTTTAGTGCTACAGATTTTCAAATTAATCAAATGGATAGTTAGATAGTGCATAACTGAAACAAAAAAATACAGGCCACCAGGATTGTTGTGAGAGGATCTAGAAAAACAGAGCAACAAACTACAGGGGTTCTTGCCTCACTCACAAGAGCAACGTGACGGATAGAGAGTTAGTGTCACCGCATGAACAAAGAACACAAAGCATAATGGCTGGCTCGTCCTGCAACTGCCCATCAGTCTTAGCAAAAGTAGCAAGTAGAAACAATCTGCTGCTGCATCTCATTGGTTTGGAGTTACTGAGGAAGAGGATAGTTCAAACCAATCAATAATTGCTGAGGGCAACTCAAGAATTTCAAGATGGGAGAGTGGAATATTAGCCTGACAAAATCTAAAGAATCTGTGCTGACAGATAGATTTTCACATCTCACGACTAAGACGCAAACAACTGAAGCTCAAGAAAAGATGGAGGCAAATCATAAAATGTCCTTAGATTATTTGGGCCAAAAAATGCACGAGGTGATGTGTTTATTTTCGTTGAGCCTAGCAGCTCTAGCGGTCCATGCATATAGTTGAACTATTCTACTGGTGCTCGGAACCTCTAACTGGCTGGATTTTTATGACACTAAGGTCTAAACTAAATTCATTTTTTAGCTTGATCAAAATAAAATGCAATGATAGCATAATCACACTTGACTCATACTTCCAATGTCTGAAACTGTGGATGTTCAGACCAAGCATAGCATTTGCTGAAACCAACTAGCAGACAACAGATAACAAGCTAGAACTGAGGACAAACAAATTCAGAATTCTCAACTGTGCAGCACTGGAGGGACCAACCTCAATTAGGCATGATGGCAAGCTTAAGCAAAGAATGTGCATCAATTGGGATTTAGAAGCAAGCAAACCGTGGTGACACACACACACACACACCCCTATGCCTCCTCCACACACACACACACACACAAACACACAAGCACATAAACCAATAGATTTCATAAGCGGAGCCTACGACAATCGACAACTCACGGAAGCCTATGCCTGTATATTTACTTACCAATTGTCACCCCTTTTCACTGGAAAACACAGAAATCAGGAAAAACCAACTGGGACGCAGCCGCATCCACACCAAAACCAACAGATCTTATAGCTCTGCAAGCTTCTCTCTAATCACTACCACCTGTAGAGAAACAATCAGACAATTCAGATGTAGCGACAGTTCTTTACAAATTAGCAACTAAGGTCAGAGATAGCGTGAACCACACAAATTATTTCGGATCCACACTCATATAAACATGCATTGGGAGTGTTTGCAGATAGCCAAAAATGGTAATACCATTCTGAAGAAATTTAGTCCTATGCATGTGAATGGAATCTGGCATAACTTAACCCCTTTCCCCTGCTGATTTTAAATTGAACAGATCTGAAGGAATGGGTGCAAAACTCCAACTCTCCTTATAATAGGTGCTTTAGCAGCTTGACACAGATAAGGCCAGAGCATGACGTATACTAGATTACAACTCGGAAAAAGAAGGCAAACTAACAATAACAAATGAAGGCATAGTCATTGATCTGTGTTCATCAAAACAAATGCAATTAACAAATGATAGGATGAACGTATAACTAGATCGACTGAACCCACATCAGGAAAGGGGATGGGATACATCAACCACCATCAAACTCTAAACCTATGCCCTCATGGTGCTAGAAGATTGAATCAATCAAACAAATGGGTTCCAAATCAGGAAAGGGGATGAGATGCATGATGCAACAGATGAGAAAGAGGAAAGACAGGGGTACAAGGCATCCCCGGAGCTCCTCGGAGAGATTCAGCAGCATCCGTGTCGGTAACGCCTGAACCTCGACTTGAATGAAATCGCCTCTCCCTGCTCCACCGTTGTTGCCCCCACCCACACACTCTCGGCCCCCCACGAGCAGCTCCACTCTAGGCCACTGTGGTGCTGAAGTGAAGAACGGGATGCGCCAGCGTTACCATAGTCGGTGCTCCATTTGGCAGGGAGCCGGAGGAGACACGAGTGGGCAGATCTGGGACTAGGATCGTCGAGAGAGTGGGAGGGAGAGACAGAGACAGAGACAGAGACAGAGACAGAGAGGAGCGGGTGGTTGTTAGGGCGGTGATGTTAGCGGGTGCATTTCGGACCCGATAAGAATAGGCAAACCCAACACACCAGCACACGGATCCTAGGCTGTGGCGTCGCCTGAGAGGAAGTCCAAAATTCAGTCGACAGAACAATAGGAAAAGTGCTAAAAAAATAGAATGCCTTATAATTTGTGACGGAGGTGGGTTTAGATGTACTCCACAGAGACGTACACGACTTAGGTGCATATTTGAGTCTCAATAAGGACAGAACGCTGGGCGCGCAGTCGCAGATATTAGTCCGGCTGGAAGCCTGTAATACTTACACAGATCCACTGAAAACTTCTTGCAGAGGGGTTCGTTACAAAGCAGGACGAAAGAAATCGCGGGCGTTTGCAACTCGCAGGGAATTGTGTGGTCGCCGCTTCAGCACTTGGGCAAATCCTTGGGCGGCGGCAAAGCCGACTGATCAGGGCCATTGCCATCCTCCACCAGGAAGGCCATCTTGAGGCCCCAGCTCGTGTGCACCTCGAGATGGCAGTGCAGGAACCAAACACCTGGATTGTCTGCCCTGAACCGGATGGCGGTCCAGCCGCCGGCGGGCACGCCGACGGTGTTCCTCTCAGGCGGGTCGACGAGGTTGTACTTGGCGGGGTCCTTGGCCGGGTCGAAGTTGCCGAGGCCCCTGCCGACGACGAAGAAGTTGTAACCGTGGAGGTGGAACGGGTGCGACTCCACGGACAGCAGGTTGGTGTCCTGCAGCACCAGCTCCACGGAGGAGTTGTACGCGAGCTTGCTCAGCCTCGTGACCAGAGACGTGGCGAGCCCCGCCGTGAGCGGTACGCCCGTGTAGTTGAACCGCGCGGGCGGGCGGTCGGGGAAGTCGGCGGCGAAGACGCCTCTCAGCCCACCGTAGTGCGCTTGCAGCAGCGCCACCCGGGGCATCATGAACGTGATGTTGTTGAGCGACGCCACGAGGTGGGAGCCGTTCACGCACGACGCGCACAGGTCGACGTTGAGCCCGATGGTGTACAGCAGGTGGCGGTCCACGGCGCGCGGCACGTCGGCCGGGTACCGCGCCTAGTTGAGGCTGCGGAGCCTGTCGTGGAACGCGGCCACGGAGCGAGTGCTGTTGGTGTCGGGCATCAGCCGGGGCGCGGCGGGGAGGACGGAGGTCGGGACGCCGGCGTACTGGAGGATGGCAGTGGCCGCCTTGTTGTCTGCCGGGACGGGCACGTCGTTGAAGGGCTTGGCGGCCATGAAGTACCGCCCGGGCCGCTGGTCCGCGCGCACGAGCACGTTGGTGGTCTGGCCCGGCGAGAGCTGGATGGTGGACGCCGCCAAGGGCTTGGTGTAGGTGGCGTCGATCTCCACCACCGTCATGGTGTGCCCGGCGATCGAGAAGAAGAGCTCGTCGTTCACTGCAGCGTTGATGACCCGGAGGATGTACGTCTTCCCCCACTGCACCTGCAGTGCGTACGTATCTGATCGACATGACATATGCACGGAGCATGGTTAGTAACACCAATACCTTGCCTTGTATCATTAGCAATGCAAAAGTAGCAACAAGAACCCCATGCACGTTTCTCGGAGCACGGGAAGAGCGGGCCGGGTTTGCCGTTGATGGTGTGCGCGTCGGACGTGTTGGGCGCCATGCCAAGCATGCGTCCCTGCTTCTCCACGGCGTCCACGTCGGCGTGCCACCACTCGCCTGCATGCGACACAAACAACCAACCAGTACGATCGAGCGTCGTTCGTCAGAGCGTAACGCAATCTAGACAGTGGGTGGACCGGCCGATCGATCGGTCACGTACTCACGTACCCAGGATGATCTCGGCCTCGGCGTCGGGCTTGGGGAACGGGTAGGGGACGCCGCGCTCGGGGAGGACGACGATGGCGCCGTGGACGGTGGCGCGCAGCCAGGCGATGTGCGCGTGCCACCACAGCCTCCCGCGCTGCCCCGTGACGTTGAAGTCGTAGGTGTAGCTCCCGGCGCCGCCCTGGATCGGGCACTGCGTGACGTACGCCGGCCCGTCCGCCCACCCGTTCCGGCGCTGCTTCAGCCCGTGCCAGTGTATCGTCACGTTGTGCTCGACGCGGTTGGTGACGCGGACGACGACGCGGTCCCCTTCGCGGGCGTAGACGGTCGGCCCGGGGTAGCTGCCGTTCACCGTCACCATGGATTTCGCATGGCACAGCCGGCTCATGTTGCTCATCACGATCTGCATGCGTACGATCAAAGCGGCGAATTGTACGTATCCACAACCACAAAACCTCGAACAACAGCATATGTATACTCACGTCGAACTGGTATCTCTTGACGTCAGCTTGTGCAGAGAGAATGAGGACTGCAAGGAGGAGAGCCGAGAGCACCAGGGGAAGCCCGCGCCGAGAGGAGACCATCGACATTGCAGCTGCAGAGGGCGATGAGAGCGTGACGGCACTCCGTGGCCGTGCGCGTTGCGTCTCCTTATATCTTCACAGACGCCGAGGCTCTGGCGAAGTGGGAAATCACTTAGCTTGGTTGAATAACAAGGAGCAGGAGCTGGAGTGGTGTGTGGTGAGATGCCCGGCTGGAACGGTCGGGAGAGTAACGCAGGGTCGAGGCAATGCGTGAAGGAAACTGTGATGGTGACATGAGTAGTGCGAGCGGGAGGAGTGGCAGCTGCAGAGCTGCTGGACATCAGTCGTCGGCGTCGAAGCGAACCGTATCGTTCCTCATGTATTCTTTTTTATCGTCAAAGCAGGGTTTGTTCTTGGGCCTCACTGATCGATCCTAGGTTGAACACCTATGTGTCCTTTGGCTTAAAGGAAACACTGACGTACGTGGACACTCCATTTGCATAGTTGCTGCTCATCAGAAACAAAAGTTCTCATTGCTTGCTCGCCTTTATCGGGGCAAGCTATGGAAGGAGAGAAATGCGAGATGTCTCCGGGGCGCCGCCACCCAGCTACCGCAGCTACTTGCCATAATCAAGCATGAGGCTGGGCAATGGGTGCGAGCAGGCACAAGACATATGGATTGTTTACTTTCTAGTATAGTAGCCTAAGAATTTTTGGGCACTTGGGAGGGCATGAGCTTCACTCTAATTTGTTGAGCCCCCTAGAGCGTTACCACAACATTTGTAATCCAAAACTTATTCCTACTTAATGCAAATACGTGCAAGCCTTTTGCGTGTTCGAGAAAAAAGCGTATTCTTGGCACCAACCAGCCATAATGGGCCGAGAGGGATGGCTGCTGGTATCTGAAAATCTTAACTCATGGCAAAATCTTTATCTGAACGGAAACGCTTAGACACGGGCATCCATCCCGTCGGACACGGCATCCCACACCGCTTCGCCCGCCTCCCTTATATAAAAAACAAAATTTCCGATTTCGCCTCGCGCCATGCGGCCGTCTGCCCACCCACTCCGCCGCGCCACCGCCACCATGTCTTGCGGCCCACTCCGGCACGCCGCCGCCGCGCATCCCCCGCGATGCCCGGCCTCGTAGCGGCGCCTCCGTCCCCAACAAAGAGGAGGAATCCTCCACCAAGGTACGCTGCTAGCTGCCCCACCGACTACAGCTGCTGCTGGACTCGGTCGCCGGCACCTCGCCTTCCGCCTCCAAGCTCCATGCGCGTGTTCGGAGACTGCAGTGGCACCTTCGTCCCCGCCGCGCCATGCCATGCTCCGTCGTCCGTCACGACCAGGCCAGGCGCCAGGAGAGAGGGGCCGTCGCTCGTCGGGCCCAGGTAAGGCGTAGGCGCAGCTGGCTGCTGCCAGGCCGCTCCATCATCCTCTGCTGCTAGTGGCCGGAACCGGCCATTCCCCACTTTGCTCTGCGTTGCACGAAAGAAGGGTGAAAAACACATGTTGCAAGCGTATATTTCAAGTGTTTTAAATATTTCAGAGGTATGTTGCAATTATTTCAGATGGATGTTGCAAAAGTAGATCGGGATGTTACAATATGTTGCAATGGTTGTACACGTATGTTGCAATCTTCTGTTCTCAATGTTTCATTTTTTCCAACGTATGTTTCAAGTGTGTTTATCTAAATGTTGCATATGTTTTCACACATATGTTGCAAGTGTTTTATCTGAATGTTGCATATGTTGCACTGGCTATACACGTATGTTGTAAGTGTATGATTCAAACGTAGGGTTGCAAGTGTTTTTATCTGGATTTGCATATGTTGCAGTGCCCATACACATATGTTGCATGCGTATGTTGTAAATGTTTTATCTGTTTTGGACGTATATTGCAGCAAATGGTTTATGTTGCAAGTGTTTCATGAGCAGGCGCGACAAGGCGGCGCAGGCGGAGGTGGTCCCCTCGGGCGCAGCGGTCCCCGCGTGCACCAAAGCGGGTGCGGCAACAGGCGCGGAGCCCAAAGCTGTATCCATGGGTGTGGTAGCAGACGCGGTACACGAAGCTGCATCTATGGGCGCCCTGAGGGTATCATTATTCAAAACGGGCAGACAGCAGGCGCGGGCATCGGGACGTTCGGGCGCTAGTCTGTCCCTTATCTGAAAGAAACTAATAGAATCACCATTCTGCTACGTCGATTGCACTCGTTTTGGTAACTGCAAATGCACTTTACCCTGGAAAACAACCAGATAACGGGTATATATACATATTTTTCCTGTTTTGGGGCGTGCGGGTACGGCGAGTGCTTCCTCGATCCTGAAATATACTGTATTTTCAGTTGTCTCAAGTCAAACTAGCATACCTTTGATTAAGTTCTTCGATGTATTTATAATGTCACGCAAGTATTATTAGGTACCTTATGAAATGTATTTTTATAGTTTATCTATTTGAGATCATGAATGTTAATACTTTGTTATATAAATTTAGTTTAGAGCAGATAGTACCATGCTTCGTGTGAACAGCGGTATCACACAAAAGTGACAACATGCTATGGTCTTGTCTTCGAGTTGAAGAGACGATTATAAGTGGCATTCATCCTTGAATCACGTAGAAGAGGAGACGGTTCGTCGGAAATATTTTGTTTCTTCGGAAGAGCAGGCTACCGATCAGAGTGGAAAGGTTGTTTCGCAGTTGGTGGGGCATCACCGCGCCGAGGCAAAAATGCTTTGACAGCTAGTGAAAGTGTAGAATACACCTGAGGTCTCACCGTTGCCAATGGATTGGCTTCAAAGCGAGACAGAGTCCTATATGAAACTAAGTGATGAAAATGGTCGGAAAACCTCTCAAGTGTTTTCTACTTCTACATTCGAATACGAAAGTGAAAGCGAAAACGATAAAGCCGGATACGAAAACGAACACAAACTTACGGAATATCAAGAATTTCGAAAATAAACTAATTCGAGCGAAATTATGTCAAACACGGTCGTTATACGAAAAATCAATACGGAATATTGACCCGCAGGACCAAGTGCATAACAATTAACAAGTGCATGACTAAGTAAATAACAATTAACAAGTCCAACAACTTTCCAAAAAAGTATCTCCATTTGACACCATGATTTTTCTAAGACAACAAACGCTTGTACACGATTAATATACTGCCGAAACTTGGTTTAATTTTTATGAACATCTTAAAGACTTCAAATAAAAAAACTAGAAACTAGAAAGTTGTAGATCTCGTCGAGAGCTATAATTTTCATATAAAATCATCTTTATCCGAGATTGTATGAAAAAAGATACAATTTTCTAAGCTGGACTTCTGGTGGGCCAAATTCGGTTTAAACCGAATTTTGAATTCGGGATATTCCGAATTAAAAGTAGAAAAGTAGAAAACGGTCGGAAAACATCTAAACCGTTTTCATTCCGATTTCGAATTTGATGTTCCGTATTTTGAATCGAATTTAAATTTGTCCGAAAATACGAATTCGATCGAACGCAGAAAATGATGCAGTTTGGTACGGAGAGAGACTGAGTCCTGTATGAAACAAGTTTGTTCGCCGGCGCCCACGGACTCACCAACTGACCATGGTTCCCATACTGCAACAGATAGATGGAATGGAGAAAGAGAACATGGTTTCCATCATAGAAATGATGGAGACGTCCTGAGAGGACTGAATCACACGCACAGTTGCCACACAGCATACGATCAATTATATGGTGATATATGTAGCGTTTTCTACCGAAGCCACTCTTGTCCACCAACCCAAACTTTGGTGATGAACGGTGCAGCTTCAGCCTGCGACAGTTGGTGAGACCACGCAACTCTTGCGTCAGTTTTGGAGCCTTCCCCGTAGCACTGGTACTGCCCGTAGAATGCTGTCCTGCACACGGCCAAAACATACCACATTATTATTGAACCAGAACACGTCAGGATCGGAGCACGTATGCGAGATACAGTTTCAGCAGCTGTAATGTAATGTGCACCTCTGTCTCTGTTTGTCGGCGTCGCTCCAGTCGTCCCAGCCCTGGGGCCTCACCGTGCTGGACATGTAGCTGAGCGCAAAGACGACGCGGGAGTAGGGGCCCCAGGGCCGGCCCAGGATGGACGTGCCGATCCCGAGCCCCGTCAGCTTGCACCCGACGAAACTGAACCCGGTGTCCTCCGACTCCGACGACCTTTTATGCGCCGTGAACGCGCCGCCGGCCGGCGAGACGGAGTGGAGATGGCACTTCTGCGCACGGCATACAGAAACGTCCAGTCTGAGGATGAAATTAAGGGCAATATGGATTTGATTTTGATGATCAATTGGATGGATCCACAAAGTACAGTACGTACATCGAACAGAGCCTTGCCATTGCCGAAGATGAAGTCGGTGGCCCCTTGGACGTAGCAGCCACGGTAGTAATGGCGGCCCGTATCGTCCAGGAGCGTGTCCTGGAACGACACCAACCTGCACCCGTAGAACGCCGCCCTGTCTCCGGCGACCCTCATGGCGACTGCCGGCCCGCTAGTCCCGAATGTGTTCTGCATTGCAAATGAACAATGGAACCAATCAAGATTCAAGACCGTGCTATATGTATGCATGCTAATAGTACAGGAACCAATTAATCAAGACTGCATATATGTGCACACCTGGAACGCTAAGCGCTTGGCGATGAAGTCGGAGGCTAGCACGGATACTGTCGGGCTCTCAGAGGCCACCCAGGACTCGTTCCAGGTGATGACGGTCGAGCTGGCGCTCGTGCCCACAAGAGTTATGCAAGGCTTGTCCACCACCACTTTCTCTCTGCAAATTAGAGGAGAGTGCAAACACAAGCAGCACTAGAAGATTATATTAGCTTGATCAACATGTGGATCCAGAAATGAACATGCACGCGTGTCATGTTGATCAACATGTAGCATCGTCGTGCACTACTACACTTGCCTGTACACTCCGGGCCTGATCCGGATGACGACGCTGCCGCCGGCGGAGCCGCCGCCGTTGTTGCTCGCGGCCGGTGCCGCATCGATCGCGTCCTGGATCCTCCTATGGTCGCCTTTGCCGGACTGGTCGACCAGG